CTGCCCAGGAAGGCTGTGGAGTCTCCTTCTCTGGAGGTCTTCTAAACATACAAAAAGAAATGGAGATGATGCTTGGGAGCACATAGAGGAACGGCAGGTTCTGCTCATCCAGCTATGGGAGGCTTGTCGTGTTTTAGGGCGTTGGGAGGAATTGGACCTATTCCCAGCTCAATATTTGAGACTACTGAACACATCTTACAGTGCATTTCAATAAATTTGTGCAGGCCTAGGTGGACGTGAAACAACTGATAGCACTGCTGCATTCCAGTTACTCCCTTTCCCTGCAATATCCAGATACCACTTGCAGGAAGACGGCATCTCAGCTGCCTGGCTACTGTTCGGCAAGGTGGCATCCTTTGATTTATGGAAGTGATTGCAGTTGTGAGTGTGCAAATGTATGGCAGGGTTTAGGTTAAAGGGACAGTTTGTGTTTCTTTTTCTAGAGTATTTTTTCAGAACTCAAATGTTATATATCAATAGATGTAGTGAATAAAACTGTCACTGCAAAAAAACCCTACATTACCACTCTGAAGTGATACAGCCACATAAGCTATTCTCAAAGGAAAATATTTCAGAAATATCAGTGTCATGCAGTTTTGGCTGTTGTGCCTTATGCCAGTTCCAAAATTCTTAGAGATTTGACCATTTTGGAAAAAAACAGGAAGCATAGCCTCAACATTATCTGGTTAAGTAACTATTTTATGTCTTTGTTTATGGATGAAAGACTGGCAAGGAAATTTTGCAATAGCTGCTTTTAAAAATGTAGTATTTTTGCAGGCTACAAAGCCCAGGAAATCAAATGTTCCATTTAGGCTGAACAAGGGTTGTTACTTTATCATGTGAAGAGTTGAAAGCATTTAGGAAATTGGAAAGGCAAAGGGAATTTGAGAGAAAGAAAGTGAATAAGACAAAATCTGTGAATCACAGTTTTCCTGTTGATTTTTCATTGACAGTTATTTACTGTCTATAAGCACAAATAAGCTGATAGGTAAAGTTACCTGTATGACTTTGAACAGATAAAAAAAAAAAAAAAGCGCACTTTCAGAAAAAAATCACAGATAAAAAGGTGTTTCTGAAGTACCATCCTTAGACTGAGGCTAGATTTTCCCCTGGGGACAAGCAAACTAGGCCCTTGCATGGAATGGCACGTCTGGCACCAGGAGTGTGCAGTGCAAATAAGGGCAAACTGTGGGGTGCTTTTCCATCCGCTTTCATTTCCCTGTAGTTACTGCTCTACCATAACATGATGCTGCTTTTAAAATACATTTTTAAATCTTTCTGCCTTCAAAGCTCAGGACTTCTGTGTTCCAAAAGGATGAGCTAAATCTAGGCTTGGAGACAAGGGAATGGTGAGCAAACCTTCCGAGAGGAAACCAGATGAGGTGAGTTAGTTGATTCTGATGGGAACAACTCCCCCCACATCAAAGAGAGTGGTAAGAAAGGAAGAGGTGGATGATTGCAGCCTGTTAGCAGTGTCTAAGGATGCAGAAGCAGGGAGCATGTGCGGAGGTTTGAATTAAAGAGCAGCTCAAGCACAGGAAAAATGAGGCATTTATTGCTCATGGTTGGGTGCTGTCTACTCACACGTGTGTCTGATCTCAGCATTTGAAGATTCAGTTATTCAGAGCTTGTGTCACAACATAGAGTTCCAATAGGAAAAAAAGGACTGAGATCTTCTCTCAAAATCGGCATTAAATATATTGAAGGCTGCCTATGTGAAATGGAAATGAAAAGAGCCAACAGTGTTCTCTCGTTTTGCCACGTGGCTGGTGGCTTGGCGAGTCCTGCAGCACTTTTATTGGATTTAGGGTAAATCATTGTTTTCATTATATGGACCTTAGGAAACCAGGTTTTTCTTATCCATCTCAGCTGAAATTTCAACACTTTACCAAAATATGGCCCTGATTTCTGTCTCCAGCTACCTTGTGTTTTGTTGTTATTGTTGTTAGAGGATTAGAGGAGACTAGTGTGGTATTTGTAGCCCTGATAACAGCAGTTCTCCAATTTAAGCATATATTCCCTGCTGTTCTATTTTTTAGTGCTTTATATTTGTTTATTATACCAAGAAGAAGCTTTAAGGAGAAAATCAGGCAATTCTTTTCTTTAGAAATATAGCATTCATCTAATGTTAGGAGCTTTCGTCAAACCTTCACTTTATTCCTTTTAGCGTTAGAATTCCTGAAAAAATAGCTATGGCACCATCAAAGAAACAGCAAACATCATTTTATATAGTTGTTCTTTTAAGTAGCAGCATGAAATAATGAATGTGGCACACTTTAATTGGTGGCATCCTGTCGATTTCTTATGAAAGACTTGAATTCTAGTAAGAGCAGGGAACACAAGTTGGTTAGTTCCTATAACACAGTGCTGTCGTCTTGGCAGAGGGAAAAATGCAGCTCAATTGTATATTGAATGGCAGATCCAGTGTATAATAGGTGCTCTGCTTCTATTTTTTACCAAATATCCCCTGTGGGATGGATTTTTGACAAGAAAATTATAGGATTGGTGCCCAGTATAAGATTTATGTTGGTAATTGAAGCTGCTGCTTCTCAATAAAACATAAATGGAGCTTAAATAACTGGGCTAAAAGGAAAGAAAGATTAAAAAAAAATAACATGTAGATATGGAGAAAGATTATAACTTGGTTGTTAAGGCCATTATATCCCCTCCAGCAGTTGTCACTGAATTTGCTGTTAATGCTTGCTGGGTGCCAGTCAACCAATTCAGCAACTTTTGTCCCCTTCTGCTTCAAGCAATTTAATGAAATTTTCTAGAGAAAGGTTGCTTCATAAAATGCTAGGATAAAAATCTGTTAATGGACAGTTCTGTCATTTTAATTCCTGTAATGTTGCCCGCCAAAGAAATCTTAAAAGAATAGGAGCATTCCTGAAGTATCCTGAGAACTTGACCTTGTACATGGGCTTTTCCCCCCTCAAGAATTTTGAGCCTCCAGTTTCAAGCAAGCTTACAGATTTGCCAGGAGGGAGGATGAGCATACAAAAGTAATCTGAAAATAATATTTAATTTGCTTTCATTTACATTGCATTTCACTTTTTCACTTATTTTGCATAGCATAATCCATGAGAACATATGCATAAAGCACACTTAATTTAGAGACAGACTTGGACTTTTGACACAGTTCTTAAGCATTTTCCCTACAAATCATATTTGCATTCTTCCTTAATGATGTGTGCAGCAAGGTGGGATGGCACAACTGCCTAGTCCCACAGGGGCAGCTCAATTCCCCCCTCAGAGGCTCACGTGGAGCGGCAGTGGGATGATGCAAAAGTTCAGGGGGGTTCCTAGCTCCTGGTCTGCTTGCTCTTGCTCTGATTTTCATCTCTCAGGCAGTTGCTGTGGGTAAAAGGGAATGTGAAAGGTACTTGTTTACTTAAATTGCCACTTAGAGCCTTGCAAGATTTTAGGTATCTGAACAGAAATCATCAAAGTAGATAGACAACTGACAAAATGTTTCCTATAGGTGAGAAATACAGTCCCAAATACAGTACTGCTTATATTGTCTTTTTCTCAGAGGACTGAGGAGTGGCTGCTTTGCTGGTTGAGTTGTTGCATACTTAATAAGTATTAACATTTGTATAAATCTTACTGGGCCACCTAAAGAATAACAGCATATTTTATTGTAGTCAAGCCATACTGCTGGAGATTTGGGATTGTGCAGTTAATGCTAGCTGATTAGTGTGAAATTTAATTTGCACTGATTATCTTGAGGTGAAGGAAATGTGGAATACACTTTACATGCAAGTTCTACATTTCACAATGTTTTCGGTGTATATATTGAAAACAGAACTCTCCCTGGGACCATCCTCTCCTTGCCTCCTTCCCTTTCTCTTGACCAATTTACAGTCTTCTAACCTTCAGTGAATAGATCTCAAATTTCTTCGTACTGCTACACAGCTGTTCAAAACCCATATTATTAATACCAATAAAAAAAAATGTGGCATTTAAATTTTTAATAATCAGGAATTATTGACCCAAGAGACTAATTTTCTCCATGGTAAAATTGTATGTCAAGAAAGAGAAAAATAAGGAAAATAGTAAATGGAAATGGAGTCAATGATTTAAAAACTCAAAAGCCTCCGTAGCTGCTTATATGTAATTTAGATTTTTGGGGCATCCGCTTTGCTGCTGTATGCTCTGTGGCATATAGCTATCCAGGCCATCATTAGAGGTCTTCCTTGCCATCAGCTAGAATTAGATTCAATTTGAATATGAATGCTTTTCTAGACAAGCAACTTGAGGGCCTGTAAATTTTCCTTTATCCCTGATACTTTCCTCTCAGGTTAGTTTTTATCCAGATTAGATAAAAGGATAGAAGGAGAGAGTGAAACAATTATAACGCAACAAGTTACTCTAGTTTTCTCTGACACAAGCTGTAAGAAGCCCTCTGGCAATCCATTTATTTCTGCCTCTTCAGTACTGCTTAACAAAGTCACTAAAGGGAACTGAGAATACAGGGATAATAGAGTAACTTTTTTAGCACTAGAGAGGTTGGACTGACTCGACAAGCACTGTGTGAGTTCATGGACTCTCCAAAAGGTCAGATGGAGTTGGCTGTGACTTGGTGTTGCACATCCGAGAAGTAGTAGCTTTGACAAATACGGCCTAATAACTGTAGAGTTTTTTCCATAATGCTGTGTCTGCGTGTGTAGAATGCATCCATGTGTATAGGTATTCCGTTGTTCATATGTGGGAACACAGGAATTATAAGAATTGATGTCATTTAGGAACATGGCATCTTAGCCATGATAATCTTAATATATGTTGACTTTTGAAAAAATGCTTTCAAATTTATTCACTGGGGAGAATCTTGTACCCAGTGAAGTGCATAAAGATGTTCGGAGATTGTTTCCCGCCTTAACAAAGATACTAAGAGCCATTCTTATTAAATCCCGGGCTACAGGGCAGCGTAAGTTGTTACGTTACACGAGTTTATGACAGCCCTGTTCTAATACAAAACCCTGCACTTTTATATGTTGCAGGCTCCCGCCTTCGGCAGGAAGACTTCCCGCCTCGAATTGTCGAGCACCCTTCCGATTTAATAGTTTCCAAAGGGGAACCCGCGACGCTGAACTGCAAGGCAGAGGGGCGCCCCACGCCCACCATCGAGTGGTACAAGGGCGGCGAGCGCGTGGAGACCGACAAGGATGACCCGCGCTCGCACCGCATGCTGCTGCCCAGCGGCTCCCTCTTCTTCCTGCGCATCGTGCACGGGCGCAAGAGCCGGCCGGACGAGGGCGTCTATGTGTGCGTGGCGAGGAACTACCTGGGGGAGGCCGTGAGCCACAACGCCTCGCTGGAGGTCGCAAGTAAGTGCCGGCCTTGGCGCTCGAGCGACACCCCGGGCGCGACGCTATTCGAAGATGGAAAATGAAACGCGGGGCACCTCTTGTATGAGATACTGAGTTAAAAGCAAGGAATGAACTATGCACATAGATTTGATACATGCCTTTTAATAAGTAGGAAAGGAAGGAAGTAGGAAAATAGAAGAGGTATCATGTCACCATGCAAATCTAGATGTGTTTGTGCATTCTCACGTATATCTTTTATGCTTCCATGCAGTTATGATTATGTAGTGTCTGTTAGATAGTGTCTACTTAAACTGACCAAATATCCATGCTAAACTGAATCCATTGTAGGAGACAAGAAAACTACGGTCTGATCTATCAGGGTACATTTGGAATTGCTGTTGCAAGGATAAGCACTAGAAAAAATTAATGGCAGGTGTACAAACACAGAATGACCTTTTTAGCCCCAGAAAGAAGTGGCCTACAAATTATCTGTCTAGTTATAAGTATTTGGCTGAAGGAAGGAACAGTCAAGTATGTTGTCACGTCACTTTGTTAGGCTTATCTCTTTCTGTATCCCTTTCCAACTCTATTCATTTTAGAGGAAGAGAGTGTGCATGAAAGGGTTTCAAGCATTCATAGGCTGTGACTAGGTTAAAAAAAATCAGTTTTGAATACTTAAATATGAGAGGAATTCTTCCTATCCAAAAGTTAGGGGATCTAACTAACTAAAAGTTAGGCTTTATAGCTTTCCTCTGTGATCTATGGCAGCTCATCAGGTGCTGTCTTGGAGAACTTACTCAGAGCTGGAGGAATCACCCTCTCAGAATCCTGGTCACTCTCCACCCGCCTGAACAAAGCATCTGTTGGAAACCAGCTCTAATTAGACTCCCAACGATACACAAGTAATGGTAGACACCAGGGGTGAAACTTCATTTACTTTTAGAAAAAGATTGATTGGAGGAGCTCGATTTTCCTAACTCTTGCAGGAGGCTACGGACAAAGACTGGGCTGCTGGGTGTCTGTTTGAGCCCTTTGCCCAGCTGCAGCTGCGCTCCCAGAAGATCCCAAGTACTTTCTTAATGCATGTACCAAAAAGACCTCAAGCATCGCATGCAGCACAGTAAACACATTCCATTAAGATCTGTGGCCACAGAGTTTCCTTGTTACTGTTTTTTTATTGATAAGAGTGGTTGGTGCTAATTGAAAATATACTTATCCAGTAAGTGCATAAGCTGTTTAATTCAATTCTTTTAAGGACTTTTGTTGATTGGTTACCTAGAAATGTTGGGTACCATGTCCTATAGGTGTAGTTTTGAGCGGGCATTGATGGTGAAGAGAATCAGATTTTACCTTACTGCTGTTATTTCCTTCTAGTACTCCTCACTGAGCCTTTAAATGAGATTTAAGGTTCTGTCCATGCTCATTTATGTTCATCAGTATATGAAAAGTCTTTGAAGTGTGTGTAGTGTTGCTGCATTTTGCGTGTTTTTTGTGCCCAAACCCAGAAACACGAGGTGGGCCCCAGCTGCTGGTGTCAGTTCACCTGTTAGTGTCTAAATGTGTTTGCGACCCGTGTCGTGAGTCATCGTGATGTGATTACAGTACGAGTCCCACTGCCAAGGTCTGGGTGTGAAACACCAGTATCAACAGAAGGCTTCTTAAGTGCCTCTGCCAAGACTTAGGGGAAAAACAAAAGATGAGTATCTCCTACCCGGGCTTCAAATGTTTACCACCTAATCAGTAGAATAGCAATAAATTGCTAATCCACTTCAAAGCGACCCTCATATTGAAGGATAGTCTCAGAAACTTGAAATGCAGTCAAAATTTGCAAGGGTTTTTTCATTTTGAAAATAGTCACATTGTTGTAAGGGAAAAGAATCACTGTCTGTGTTTGGAAATGAGGTTTCTAAGTCTGTAGCAGTGTAATATTATACAGCTTTAATTGTATCCCAGCAGATTATAGTCAAAGAATTTTAAAAGAAAAGGTAATGATGTGACAGTGCAAAAGCACAAAAATATTTTAAATAGCACAGAAGAGGTGAGGAACAAGGAAATAATTGAAGGCTAGTGGAATAAATTTACATTAAATTCAAAATCTGTGGAACATAGATCTAATACTATCATATTATTAAGCTCTAGTTACATGCTAGTGGTGTGCAACAAATCATGCAACCATTTTGACTAGTTTCCCAGCACACCCTTTTTTGAATGCCTCAGTGTTGTCATATACAGTTGCCGCTTCAGAAATACTGTATGCAAGTTTAATCTTTATGTGTTTATCCAGTAAAATGGCCTTTAATTGATGTCCGCTAGGAAATACAAGAGATTGCTTAGTGTCAAAGCACAACCAAACATTGCTTTGATTGTGCTTTGATACTGTGAGAATAACCAGAAAGCTGAAAATCATGAAAAGTAAGAAGGAAAAGCTTTCCATGCACTGGGCCTGCTCTTCATGCTTTGTAGTGTTGTAAGGAATTCATCACTTCGTTTTCGTTGCCCATTGTTGCAGCCACTTCACTGAGATGACTTCAGTTCTTTTGCTGCTTGGTGCATGTGCAGATATGACTTCAGATTCAGAGAAATACTACAAATAAATTTTCACGGCTGTTATTTCTTCAGAGAGTTTATCTTCCAAGCAGCTCCAGTGTCAACCTTTGAGACAGCCACAAAAAAAAAAAAAATTATTGTCTATGGAGTAAGCTGGACATAAGTCTTTTCTTTATACTGTGTGTGGGTTGTCTAGTTGCAAACAGAGAATTGAAGAGGAATCTCAGAAAGCTATAAAAGCTTTTGAAATGCATAAATATTACAAGTAGGTTTTGTCTTCTTAAATATATGTGTGTTTTAAAAGCTTTAGATGTGGTATCTACAGCTGAGGAGACTAAAATGCTCAGTGACTGTGGAACACAATGGGAGGAAGAAGTGTTCCTTCCTCTCTTTATTTCTGTCCGTCACCCTTACTTTGGTGAATGGGCTATGGTGTGCGTGCCCGTCTACTCCAAAACATGCTGCATTTTCTTCCCCAGATGTGTATCTTTGTTGTGACACTGTAATCCAGGCTGAATACCATTGGACAAGATATAAATGTTACTTATTTTCAGCAAACTGAATTAGAGACATCTTTTTCTTATTCTGCCTCTTATGGCCCTTCCAAAAAGCTAGAAGATCCCATGTGTCCACTTAGGATACTGTGGATTTGTTATATCCTCCCCATGATGGTTTTTGCCCCAGCAAAATGTTTTTTCCAGGTGTATTTCCTATAGTTTCCATGGTTATTTCCTAGAAGCCTTACTCCATCCCCCCTTAACAAGAAAAAAGGCCTGAAAAAACAAGATGAACCTTCTGGTTGGCACAGTAGAAAGATAGAAAGTAAGAAAGATATTCTTAAATCTGCCAGAGCGTCACTTAAACACACGCTGTCTGCAGCCTGCTCGGTTGTGTTCCTGGGACTGTAGCTTTCCCTAATCAAATAGCCAGCCACTTGGTATTTCAAGAATTAACATCTCCCAGACACTTTAGAGACTAGTAAAACTATGCTGAGCTACACAGCCTTGTGAGATGTAGCTGCGTAATTGAATATTGCATGACATTTGCTGTATAATTGAGATCTGTAAGATTTTCATAAATAGGGAAGGATATAAATTTGCATAAATAGGAACCCAGCGGAAAGCTGAATTACAAGACAATTAAATAAAGAAGGAGACATAACTCCTGCTCAGTTTGGGGATTTTTTTTTTTCTCGCTCTTTTTAGCCAACTGGTTTCATCTTTATCTGAAACGTTAATCCCAGTGAATTTCTGAAACGGAACCTCCGGCTTTATCCTCAAATGTAATTTGCAGTAGATGGGAGCTCCAGCGCAGTAGTCCAGCACCCGTGCGCGGCAGGATAATCAGATAAGGCTGTAATCACCCCTCACAGCCTTATACCACTGCAAGGCTGTTTGCCTCCCTCTTCTTGACTTCCTGAACTCAGCCTTTTGATCACGGGAGACTCCTTAAGTTAGCGCCGTGCTTTGTTTTGGAGGAATGTAGCTGGTTTCAGGTTCCTCCCTACGAGTGACACATTCCCCGGTGGTGAAAGGTCCTAAAGATCGTGATAAAGGGCCTGTCCCTGAGAGAGGGCAGCTGGGCAGGTCTCGCTGTAAATGTCAGCTCTTAGGGGCAGGAGCACAAGACGGAGCTACTCCTGCTTCTCCCAGTAAGCGCTGGAGACAGCGATCTGGCCATCACATAAACAACTGGGAAGCCAAAGTCCAACAGTCATCTTTCACTCGGCAGAAGAAGCAAAAGCAGTTTCGGAAAAGCAGAAGTGTTATCCAGGAACAGACTGGAAAGCGGCTGCTTCAGGTGCTTGAGTTGCTGCACACTGTCTGATGAACAGAGGCTCCTGATCAAGACCACATTCAGTTCTGGCCATGCCATAGACTGCTTCGGGATTTAACTTTGTCTCTTACCCCACAAGAACTCTTTTTTGAGGGAAGTGAGGAACATCTTGATCTTGCAGGTATCTGTTAGGTAGTGTCATGTAGAATTTAGTAATCAAGAGCTGCAGCTATATGCTCATATTCTTCGTTCCTGCTTGTCTCCCTAAAGATTTGGGAGATGAAACAAAAGTCAAGTGGGAATGAAATCAGTCATGGCTGCTGGTCACTGACTTCATGAATCCTTAGTGCAGATTATGTTACTTTGAGAGGATAGCTTTCAGTTTTGCTATGAAATTTGTAGGATAACTTTTATGAAAACAACTTTATTTTCCATTGATTTTCTTTTCAAGAGGCTTGCTTTTGCAAGTATATGTATGCTACCCCTATCCTCAGGAACAGGGTGCCCTAAGGGTACCTCACCCTGAGTAAGCTGGAGGAGATAGAGGTTGGCTGTTTGCAATTTGCCATGGCCAGCACTCCAAGTACTCTCTATGTTAATTCCTGTGGAAAACAGTCCCATCTCTTCAGTGATTCTGAAACACTAATATCCTTCTCACAAAGGCATATTTTTTGGATGTTGCTTTCAAAGAGTTATGCTATGTTCTGTATGTACTGAATGTACATAGTACTGCTATATGTACTGTGTTAGTGAGCATGCCCTCCTGGTAACTGCTGTGCAGCATCGTTCTTTAAAACTAGCTGAAATTAATGAATAAATCACTAATTTTGTTACCTGAGCTGTGACTTTTCGCTGATGGTCAGTGCTCCATCAAAAGCTTATTCATTCTTTTATTTATAGTGAAGACCACTCTCATGTTTAGGAAACTCTTACCAAGCTCCTGTGTTCTTTCTTATTGGGCTGCTGCACCATGATGGAGTCTGCAACCTGCTTCTTTAGGGCAGTGAGTCATCAAATTGTTCCTTCAAAACCGTCTATCTATTCTTTCATCCCAAATTAAAAAGCAAATGTCAGTGTCACTGCTGTATCACTTTCCAAAGCAGGCTGCCAAAGTGGTTTCACTTGAAAGGCAGACATTTAAATGGAAAGATTGGGTTGTTTGCCTGCTCTCCTCCTGACGTTTCAAAGGACAAAGTACATAAAAAGTGAAGCTGTGCCCATGAGTAATGGCGTTAACAAAAGTTGCTTGAGTCAATAAAGGCTTCATAGTAATGCTGGTGGTAATGCCTCTGAAAACATTTATCAGTGGTAGGTTTGCCTTGAACCTAACTTTTAGCCTGCAGCTGTGACAACAACTGAGAGCCCAGCTTACTGAAAACGGCCTCTGGATCATGTTGTAAAAAACAGTGTAACGTAACCGAGGAGAAATCTCTGCACAACTGTGATACCAACCTGGCTTGTAAATGTGCTGCTCTTCCTAATCTAGTCACCTGTGGGATAGGAAAGTAGAAGCAATTATTTAGCTCCTTCATATTAACTTAGGTGTATTAATTGCCTCTGCCATTACAATCAGTTAAAGAACAGCGAGAGTTTGAATGTCAACATAATCCTTTAAGGCATCTGCTTAATTTTTAAATGTAGAGGCTCATTTCTTTTCTCTTTAGTTATTGTGCTTCCTTTACAAGCCTCCTGACATGTGCAGAACTGGAGGCGTTTGTTAGCACCATTAGAAACTCCTGCTTAAATGTCACTGCTGCGAAACCTTTGTCTGCGAAGCCAAAAGAGCCTTGAGAGTGAATGAAAAAAAAAAGTGTCGAAATGAGAAAATGTGTCCGTTTTTCTTTCTCTATCTTTGTCTCTCTGTATATATATATAGTAAACACCCAGAAAAGATGTAGAGATGTTGCATTCCTGAAAGGCTGAGAAGTGAAACTTGCTCTTTGTTACATTAAAAATTGCTGGAAGGGAAAAAGTTCTAAACAGCTGCCATGCTCTGTCCTATGTGCTTATTTTGGTCTACCCTTAAATATAAGAACTTAAATAAAAATAGTAAAATCCAAATTTTCCTCATTAAACAAAAATGGTGCTATCACATACTCAGGCCTAATGAAAACAGTAGATGCTTTACAAATTCCATTTAAAAAAAATCCTTACCCATTTTTACCATTTTTATTTACTTTTGCTTGTAAAATGTAGGATGAAAGGCAAGAAATTTCTTATTTCTTGGTCTAATTCAACCTCTCTAATACAGTACTGGCCTTATATTTCTATTTTATGCTTTTAATATGCACAGCTCATTTAAATTTCTAATGTGAAACAAAAAAAAACGAAACGGTAAGGGAATGTGTATGCACAGAAATCTGATATTGCAGCAAGGGGGAATCCTTAATTATTATGGCTATCATGGTACTGAGATTTAATGATATTGCTCTTACATTGGTAATCCTAGTTCATAGTTAAAAAATTGACCTTCATGACTGTCATATAACCTGGTTCAAAGATAAAATAACAATGTTTAAAAAGCTTTAAGTGTTTGAAACTCATAGCATGGTGCAAATGGAAAAAAAAAAAAAAGCGTTTCAGCAAATTCCAAGTGCGAACAAGATTTTCTTTGCTGGATGGAAATAGTGCATATTTTTTAACCATTTTCAAGTAGAAGGGTCCTGACATGTCAGGGCTGTGTGTTAAATCTCTGTGTCATTTTGCCAGTGAGCAGAGTTTTATCTTTATGCAAGAAATCCACATATGCCCTGTGTCAAGTTTCAGAGAAGGTGGCTGAATCAATTTAAGAAGATTTTGTTTGATGAAATCAAGATAAGAAATCCAGTGTTTCCCACTAAATTAGACCCTTTCCTATTATTTCCGTTCCATGACATGTCATAACAAGTTTTGGAAGGAATGTATTTATGGCCAGAGAATTTGTCATGGTTCTTTTGTATAGGTTACTCTTCACTCTAACCTAGTCTTCAGTATTTATTAGGTTCATTGTTTGAGTTTTAAAAACGTATCATCAAAAGCTTTTAATATGATTTTAAAAGGAATAAAAATGGCATACAGTCAATGCAGGTGCCTTCTTATCATTAAAAACACTTCAAGCTCCTTTGAATTTCCAGGAATAGAGATAACCATCCTGTGGAGAGGATGGTTTCATCAGCATTAGCATTAATTAATGTTGATAGAAAGAAATATCCCCCGTTGTTCTGAAATTCTTTTGGCAGATGAAGAAAAGGGTGCTGCAGAATCTTCAGGATCAGTGATGAGTTATCTGTAGTTCATTTTCCTGTGTTATGCAGAATATGAGCTGTTCAGTTAGCTGGAGATTTCATTCTCTTTTTTCATTAATCTTAGGCAAGGTAGGGTCTCCGTGAGTAACTATTAGCATTACTAGCTGCAAATGGTGCAAGAATTTCAAAATTCAGACCACTCAGTTTTTGTAAATGTTTTATATTTTAAACGATCCCTAATGTGCAGCCACTACCATTTGGAGAAGGAGACTCCACAGCCTCCCTGGGCAGCCTGTGCCAGGGCTCCGTCACCCTCACAGTGAAGGGGAAGAGGCTGCCCCAGCTCCGTTGGCCTGCAGGATTGTCCAGACCCTGCCTGGTGGAGCTGCATGAGGGCTGTGGCTACGCACGGTGCTTTGCAGGCTGACGGGGGGAAGGACCCTGTATTGCAAACATTGTGTTGTTGGGTTTTGTGGGACACGGCCTCATGTGGAAATCGTGCACGTGATTTTTGTTTCAAATGTGCAATTCAGTATAACAGCATAGCTTCTGGATATCACAAATGATTTAGGGTGGTTTTGAGCTTTTCATTTTATATTTTGTCGAAAGATGTGTTTTTTTAATGCCACTTGGACATTAAGGGAGGGAGAATAAAACCAGTTTGGGGGTTTTTTTAACTGATGGTTGGGAAGGATTTGATTGAGTTAGTCTGGCTCATACTCAAGAAATAAACAATCTTTGTAAAGGAAGGTGGTTTATCAGACTTACGGGATGCTCGTGCTATGCGGAGCACTATCGAGGTAACTTTTGCAGTGAGGGATGAAGTGGTGTGCAGATTTGAAAAAAGAAAGCTTTATTGGAAATGCCTTTGGCGTGGTGGAGCATTAATGTGTAAATCTATTCTTAAAGGAAAATTGTCTAGAATACAACTTGTATATTTTTGGAAATGCGTAAGAGAAGACCTGAACGTTATATAATCTGCTTACTTAAAATTAGTGTTTCATGACTTTTTATTATTCCATGGAGATGATTCAAAGCCCATGGTATTTCTGTCTCTCCTGTTAGATCTGAAATGCTGAGATTTGTTGCGTTTCAGAATCTGAGTAAGAGGATCTTTATTGATGCTCTGTGTCAGTGTAATATTTGATCTATAACTAATTCCATAGCCATGGAAGTTCACAGGTAGTAGATAAAAACGATACAGATGCAAGAAATGAGAGCACTTTCTAGATGGTCATGCATTTGAGATTTAAAACCTCTTGGAAAACAGACCATTTCTAATGAAAGACTGCTATTCATGCCAGGAATTAGAAGCGCATACTGGTTTGTCACCAAGGAAATTAAAATGGATAAAATTCCCACTATTGCTGACAGAAATGCAGACAATATCCAGGCTAGAAGATGCATCTGGCTTAGGTGATGTCTGTGCATTTAGTTCTTTACCAGTATAAGCCAGACTGAATTTGTTGGTAAAGTAGAAATTATGTGAAAAGCAGGACAGATGAAAACGGGCTTGGATTATTGGCCACATTTATTACGTGTATCCTTTTAATAGCAAAGACGAGGCAAGTTGCTCATTCTGTGATACAGATGTGAATATTGTAGCTCTTTTCCCACCTACATATTTCTAAGCAAACGCTGTTTGAATAGTCTCACTTTGATTTATGGGAATAGGAGTAGGAGAAGCGCATCCATATAAGATGGATGTGGTAAGTCTTAGTCTGTATAGTGCCTTAAGGATGTTGTTTAATTTCTATAGTGTCTGAGTAATCACACTTACTTTCTGTTAAGGCAGGAAATTCTGAAGTATTTCTTGGTTTGTTTATT